TAACTGAACTTTTAAAATGAGACCACCAGTGGAAAGGAAGGAAGGTTTGAAAGTGAGAGGGAGATCGAGTCGGTTTGTGTTTGACTGTTCGAGAGAAAGGTTTCCTGCGATGAGTGACTGGTGAACCTGTGATTGTTCAAGAACAGAACAAAGACAAGAAAACGCGTGACAATGGCAGAAGAGGAAAGATTCTGATTTGTATTTTCCAGCGATTGCGAGTTTTCGTGGCACCTTGATTCAGAGGCCATATCTCAGCTTATGTGAAACGTATGGACCGAAAGGTAACTGAATGTTATTATTCAATTGTGTGCCAGCTGTGACAGTGTCGTGCGAAATCTGAAAACAACGAGGGAGAACACCAGACAACGACCGGACGACACCTTGGTCGTAAAACAATAAACTGTAACTGCAAAACACATGGGTGTTATCAATATATCTGTCCATCTGTTTATACTGACTTTCCATCAGGGCAGACGGGAGACTGATTCAGAAACCAGCAACATTGCAATACACAAATCCGCTTCATTGCGGCTATGAACAAAAGACACTTCCAAGCTGGCAGACACAAGTCCAGCCAGGAAGAATTGGAGTAAATATACAAAGTATAACTAGAAAGATATGCGAAAAGAAAGACATGCGTGCAATAAAGGAACTTTTCGGTAAAAGAATTCATCAGGAAATAATTATAATTCTTGACTACAGAAAGAAAAAAAATTGCTCCGACATAAAAAATAACGTTTTCCTGCCATGCGAAATTATTTACTTTTCTGTGGAGTTTACACTGAAGAAAGGCTTTTAAGCTGAGTTTTACTGAAAAGTACATTGGCCAAAAAAGGTTCGTATGTTGTCGGAGAGAGAAGACAGAAAGTAGATAGGGAGAGAACAGGAAAAGATCAGGGAGTAATCAGGGAGAAGTCGGGAATACGAAAATGGAAAGGCAGTAAGAAATCAAAAAGTAGACAGAGATAAATCAGGGAGAATACAAGATCTTGAGACCCAGTCCCCTCAAACCCGAGTGGATCAGTCACAGTTACGATGGTTTGGACATGTATGCAGAATGGGAAAAATCGGCCACCATGGCAGGCATGGGAGGCTAAGAACCAGGGAGCCACACCTCCAGGGCGACCCAGGGTGCGCTGGAAGACAACATCCGACAGTCCCTGACTGACATAGGACTGGAAAGGAACAAAGCCAGAAAAAAAAACTACTCATAGAGACGTCTGGAGATCTCTCTGGCAAACCTCTACACACCAAGGTAGAAGAGGACTGACTAAGTAAAGTAAGTAATTAAAGGAGACACACAGAAATGCTCTTGATATGCGTCATCACTGTTCAGCATTTCAAAGAAAAGAAATTACAGATGACACATGAAAACTTACTTTTCGTCATTAATTCTCAACTTTTGAGCGACATTAATGCTGAAGCTCTTAAAATTCTTACCATCATTTCTCATTATCACACAGCTTTTGAGCCACTTACTTTTCGTCTTGAAATATCACCATTTGAAAAAGATTAATACCAAGACACATACAAACTTTTACTTTTCGTCATTACCTTTTACAATTTAAGCGACATTATAGCTAAGGCACTTGCAATTCTCACCAGCTTATGGCTTTAACACATAGCTTTTGAAAGTTATTAAAACAGAGGCACATAACAGTTATTACTTATCTTTGTGAAATGTCAGCATTTGAAAGACATTACCACTAAGACACACGGTATTCTTTTTTTTCTTCATTACACTGCAACAAATAATTACATAACTAAAAACCTAAAAGTGCTTACCCTCGTTGTAAAATCTCAGCATATGAAAGGCAGTTTAAGTTAAGATACGTACAGATTCTTACCTTTTTTTAGGAGATCTCTACACACTACAAATGGTAGCTGAAACAGACACACTAGCCTGGGCGTTTGTCAAAAAGATAAGAATTTTTTTTGTTTTAAGTTTAGTAAGCAGTCAGACGGCTGTCGAAGTTTAATGGTACTTCTTCGTATACAATTAACATCTTTTAGTTGCTTATCCTTTACAGGACGTTGCAAAACCAACACCAGCATTTTTTGGGGGGTGGCATTTCTATGCAAGTTTACGTCCAGTCTTTTGCCATTGCTTGCTGGACGATCGGCTTCTTGATACCACTGTCGAAACCAAAGCAAGGCGCAATGCATGCAGCTGGGATCGAGCCTGGCACTCCGGCATTACGAAGCGTACTGAGGTAGCGTAGTCGCCACAGCACTAACCTAAACCTTCAAAATCTTAAGCAGGATTGTTCTTTTCAGGTTTACCAAGGGTCTGTATGACTATTTATTTTAAGACTTATGTGATTATAGTGAATGACGGACTGGTGCTTAGATGGCCGCTTTACGACTCCGCGTTCAACGGTCCACGGGAGTTTTCGACCAGGAAAGCGTGGTGGACGATTGGAGACTCTAGGATTCACGGGGTATTGAAGGATTTCACGGTATTCGGAAAACTGGCCAAAACTGACTGAACAAAGGGTTTTCTGGGAGATTGTCTGAGAATGGACAGATACTTATGGTGTTTTCACTGTTGGATATTTGCGTAATTGACTTGAGTTAGCGACGGTTAGTTTAAAGGCAGTTCAAAGCCTACTTTAAAGAAAGATTGTATATTGTATTTAATTATCGTTTGTTGACTCAGGTACTTAGCTGTGTGTTAGCGAAGTTGTTCGTGAAAGGGGTTTCTCAGTTTAAGAAGAAGAATACAACGAGTTCATGGGCCTAGTACCTAGGTGACGCGGCGCAGTGGTCTGTCTAGTCACACTAACCAGAGCCGTGCAGTAGCATAGGACTCGTAGTGCAGACACGCCAGAAAGAACTTGGATCCGAAGCTCTTTGTGCGGACCAAGTTAATGCCTGGGAATAACTCAATGGTCAGTGTGTGAGTGGCGATGGTAAAGCACTCCAACAGGTTAGGGAAGAGTTGGCGAGCCACCTCTGGGGTCAACTACCAACCGCTTGTTGTAAATTAGAGTAAAGGCTGATGCGTATGCTCTGACGGTGTTGGTTAAAGGATAGACGTTCCTGTCGTAGAGCTGCCAACGGGCTGTGTACCTTAACGACAGTAAGCAGGTATCTGACAAGGTATACGACTTTGTTCTAATATAGAGGCCCACGACAAGTATTCTAAATGCTAAATGCTCCTTTTTTCGGGTCGTTATCGTTGTCGGTATCTTGTTGTTCCTCAAAGTTGGTAGATTCGTTTTCTCCTAAACTTGACATACTAATATAAGAACGACATCATAACACAACGGACATACCCATAGATGCTCGGTCACACAAATATTTAACTAAAGATGTTAACATTTTCCACAGGACACTGATTATACGCACGTTTTCCTTCCTGTCACACGTCCCTTCTCGTGGCATCCGCATTTAATTCCTCGTTCACATTCTTACACATGTTATGTCATCTAACCTAATGTCTTCTATCAGTATTCGTTCATAAATAGTCTTCAGAGTGTTTCCTATGTCCACCATAAGTTTTCCTGTAGCTGTCGCTTGTGTAGCCAGAAAATCCGCTCTTTCGTTCCTTGGCACTCCTGCATTTCCCGGACAGTATATCCACGTGAGACCCTGCAATGTTGACGTACTGATGCTTGATAGCCACTCTTGCCACAATGCCAGTTTAAGTATACTTCACTCTATTCCGTTGAGCAGAAAGACATATCCTGCTGGCTTGCTAAGCCAGTCGCTGGTAAAGGGCAACCAAAATATAAAATTTAAAAAAAAAACTGTGCTAGTTAAGTCTACACACACAAGCGAGCCAGTGACATATTATTAGCTCCCGACGTCACCGTCTTGGTTTCTCGGTCTCCACTAATCAGAGGTGGGTTTGACGTTTGTGTTATGCAGGTCACCGGCAGGTTACTGAATTACTCTTTTCACCCCTTAAGATCCAAACTTATCTGGCTGCAGAGTCAGGCACGTCTTAAGAATACAACAGCAACAGTAGAAAGAATTTTATTTTAAGGCAGATCTGGTCAAAGAATTCGAGCGGTGTGGCTGATAAGGCTCTAGTTCGCTACTGCAAGGCCTCATTCTTCGCTGTTCTATCCTTAACGCCTTCATTTCAATTGTAATGCCTGTTAATTCCCTGCTGGTTTTTCCTCAGGATGTGCAGCGCCATCTTGTCTCTCTTATAACTGTTGATACTATTAATTACCTATAAATTTCTTTTATTTCTTCACATCTTTTGAATGTATCCAATTTATTTTCACCATTTTCCTCAAATATTTGTGTTTACATGTATTGAACTTTCGTTTCAAGTCTTTAGTGGTTCTGCAGCTTTCACTTGCATATGTTAAAAGTGATACAACAATAGAATTGAAAATACGTAACTTGCCTTAAAAATAATAAATAAAATAAAATAAAAATTCAGTTTATTAGCAAGGTTCTATTTTTTTTTTTTTTTTTTTTTTGTTCTCCATTTTTCCGCTTCATACTGATTTGATATTATAATCAGAATTGTTTTTTTTTTTTTTAAATCTGTATCGCCGCCATTATTTTATCAAGATCGCCATTTATAATATTAGTAGCGCATACAAAATGTATAGAATGTTATATATTTGGTTTATCCAATTCGGAACTATGCACACGTACACGCAATAACAACAACACCAACAATCGGCCACGTGTGTGGTTAAAACAAACAATACAAAGCACACACAGCAAATAATGTAAACAAATAAATCGAACACTCAATAAACGTATTTTGCTAACGTAATATTTTAATAAAATGAAGCAATGAAATGAATTCTTTCAACTGAAATACAAAACCAGCCACACTGAAAAGTAACTGCCTGTTTTATCGGAAAAAGGCATATTCATTTCCTGTTATCTATGAAGTCTGTTTAGGACTGCAACAGGTGAAGAAGAAACTCGACAAATGATATAACAATAATAGTTATCTCGACTCTTGCTTTTATACCCCGTGTTTTACAATAATTTGAAATGTCTTATACAGGTAACTAGAACAATTGTCAAGGGGGACAGTCCGGGCTTAGCAAAGAGAAAAAGTCGTACACACTCATTAGGCCGCATGTTCCTGAAACTCTCCCTGACCTCAGGGACTTGATCCAGGGCGCTAAATTTTTCTCCATGCAGGTACAAACAAGACGAGTGATTTCGCTGACATCAAATGTAGTTAAACTGTGAAGCGAGGTCAGGCCGAGCGGTAGGCGAGCCAGTCTTGTACTACCCAAGTAGAGCTCCTCAAGTTGAGCCAGATTAGCAAACGCATGATCGGATATTGTCGTTAGAGGATTATTATTCAAGTACAAATAAAGTAGGTTGGAATTTTCTGGAAAACTCGTGTCTGTTAATTCAGTGAGTAGATTGTGTTGGAGATCAAGATACCTCAGTGACACAGGAATTAACGATGCTTGCACACGGGTTACTAAGTTTGACGCCATCATTAACGAGCCCAGCGATTGGACACGAAAAACCACGCTTGGAACTGAAGTTAGAAGATTGTTTCCTAGATTCAGCCCGTGTAGATCAGGTGACAGAGATCCTGCATTCAGATCATAAATCTTGTTAAAGGACAAATCAATACTTTGAAATGTCAGGAAATCTAAATCAGGAATCGCCGTCAGCTCATTGCCCACCAAGTTAAGGTCGCTCAGAAACTCTGCAAAAGGCCTCAGCGCTTCACTTAGCTGAGTCCCATTGGAGATTTTATTATTATTTAAAGCTAGCGTATCCAATCTTGCATGTTTTGGCAACCAGGTAACATCTGTTATCTTGTTGCTGTCTACATACAAATGTGTGATGTTAACCAACTTATAAATCGCTTTGGGAACGGAAGTTAAGCTGTTGCCAGTAAGAGACAGGGTTATTAAACTATTGGTCATACCGTCCAGTCCATTGTCCGGTATAGATGTAATGTTGCTGTTATCGAGCGATAACTGGGTCACTTGGTTGCAGTACTGAAACCAGCCAGGCCATGTGTGTACACTAACATTGCCGAAAGATATCGACTGTAGTTTGGGTGCCAGATACATCATCATCTCTTCATTCCAATCACCAACGTCGGTATTGTAGAGTTCAAAGAAGATGAGGCTCCTTAAATTCAACAGAGCGTCGGGAATTCTTGAATGTGGAGCTAAAGTTAGACCCAGAGTTTGTAGAGTTGTTGAAGAGTGAATGAAGGCATCGTCGTCGATAGTCTGTATAGGGTTGTCGTTGAAAGTGAGCTGTACAAGACCAACTGGGAGACTTCCTGCGGGTACTGATGTGATGCGGTTGCCCTGTAAACAAAGATAGGAAACACAACCATAAAGTATGATGCTTTTTAACTTTTTTTTTTTTTTTTTTGGGGGGGGGGGGGGGGGGTACTAGTCATAATTAAGCCCTTTCTATATCATGTTTAAGAATATCCAGCCCGAATACCTCCATTTTAACCTTACAGTCATCGAAGGCTAATGGCTGCCAAAAAATATTTCTCCAGTAATCAAGACAGCCGCCATTCGTTAGAAAAGCGTGTTATTCACAGTTTAGACGTTTTCGTTCATAGAGGGATTAATATTTAACACAACTATTTTTAACTTTATTTAATTTTTATATACCTCATCGTGTGTCAGTTGATATCACCAGTTGTGTGTTGATTTACTGTTCTTCTTTGCCTACTGTCGTCGCCTGAATCATCTTCTCGCCCTGCCTCATTGACAGCATTAGGAATATTGACCCTGTTCAATGCTTTTCCTGTACAAAACGGTTTCCTGCCAGCAAGCCAATCAGCTTGTTCATTCCCCTTTACCCCAGAGTACCCTTGCACGAACATAAAACTTATTTCTTGCAAGGGAGATTTCCTCAGCGGCTCCAACTATTTTCTTCAAATCCATGCTAGCTAAGTTAGTTAAAGCAGCTGCGCGGCGACCGAGAGACAAACTCCTTGTCACTCTTGGGGGTAAACAGAAAAGCCACATATTTCCCAGATTAAATTCCATTTCAAGATCATTTCCATTGCACGTCAGGCATACCCGTGAGTGCTTCGATCTTTCCCTAAACATGTTTCTCTGAATGTGTTTACGCTGACAAATCCTGTTCTTTACTGGTTTGCATTTTGAGTCACAGACAAAACATGAGCAGTTTCAGGTTTAAGTCTTCAGACTCACTGCCATGACCTCTGTAGACTACTTGTAGTCAAGGCAAAAGCACCAGAATCTTGTCCACATTTAGAACTCCAACCTGAGCCGAACAAGCCCACTAGCTTTTCACGTGGCAAGCTACAGACCCATCAGTGTAAATGGCAGCGTCATTTACATGATATACAACTAACACCAAAGCAGGGTGACAAAATATACAACTAACATTTAAACACGGTGACAAAATATACAACTAAAGTAAAAACAAGGTGATAAAATATACAGTTAACATTAAAACACGGTAAAAATATATACAACTAATACCAAAACACGGTGATAAATTATACAACTAACACCAAAAGACGGTAATAAAATATACGACTTAAGTCAAAACACGGGGACAAAATATACGACTAGCATTAAAACACGGTTAAAAAAGTAACCAACACCAACAAACGGTGATAAAATATACAATTAAAATTAAAACACAGTGAAAAAATTTACAACTAACACCAAAACACAGTGACTATATATATATATATATAGTATATATAATATATATATATATATAATATATATATATATATATATATATATATATATATATATATATATATATATATATATAACTAACATCAAAACACGGTGACAAAATATACAACTAACATTAAAACACGGTTAAAAACAATACACAAGTGACACCAAAACACGGTGAGGAAAAATACAGCTTAACATTAAAACACGGTGACAGAATATACAATTAAAATGGAAACAAGGTGATAAAATATACAATTAACATTAAAACACGGTAAATAAATATACAACTAATACCAAAACACGGTGATAAAATATACAACTAACACCAAAAGACGGTAATAAAATATACAACTAAAGTCAAAACACGGGGACAAAATATACACCTAACATTAAAACATTGTTTAAAAAAATATACAACTAACACCAAAACACGGTTACAAAATATACAACTAACATTAAAACACGGAAAAAATATACAGCTAACACCAAAACACGTAGAGAAACTATACAGCTAACACCAAAACACGGTGACAAAATATACAACTAACATTAAAACACGGAAAAAAATATACAGCTAACACCAAAACACGGTGAGAAACTATACAGCTAACACCAATAAACGGTGACAAAATATGCAACTAACATTAAAACACGGAACAAAATATACAGCTAACACCAAAACACGTAGAGAAACTATACAGCTAAACCCAAAACACGATGACAAAATATACAACTAACATTTAAACAGGGTAAAGACAATATCCAACCAATACCAAAACAAGGTGACAAAATATAAAAGTACCATTAAAAAATGGGAAAAAATACACAGATAACACTAAAACACGGTGACAAAATGTACAACTAACATTAAAACACGGAAAAAAATATACAGCTAACACCAAAACACGGTGAGAAACTATACAGCTAACACCAAAACACGGTGACAAAATATACAACTAACATTAAAACACGGAAAAAATTAACAGGTAACACCAAAACACGGTAAATAAATATACAACTAATACCAAAACACGGTGATAAAATATACAACTAACACCAAAAGACGGTAATAAAATATACAACTAAAGTCAAAACACGGGGACAAAATATAAGACTAACATTAAACCACGTTGACAAAATATACAACTAAAGTCAAAACACACAGATAAAATATATAACTAACAAGAAAACACGGCAACACATAAACAACTAACATCGAACTCTACGTTAGTCACTGGTAATATTCCAGGGGGCCTCAAGGGCGGGATGGCTGTCAGCCCCAGCCTGCTGCAGTCCACAAAATTGTCATCGCACATGCACAACTGCAATCAACAGGTCATCATTGGGGGTAAACATGGTGACAAAATGTACAACTAACATTAAAACACGGAAATACTGGTAATATTCCAGGGGGCCTCAAGGGCGGGTTGGCTGTCAGCCCCAGCCTGCTGCAGTCCACAAAATTGTCATCGCACATGCACAACGTTAGTCACTGGTAATATTCTGTCTGTCCTCAAGGGCGGGATGGCTGTCAGCCCCAGCCTGCTGCAGTCCACAAAATTGTCATCGCACATGCACATCTGCAATCAACAGGTCATCATTGGGGGTAAACATGGAATGTTGGGTCTGTCTGTCTGTCTGTCTGTCTGTCTGTCTGTCTGTCTGTCTGTCTGTCTGTCGGTCTGTCGGTCTGTCGGTCTGTCGGTCTGTCGGTCTGTCTGTCTGTCTGTCTGTCTGTCGGTCGGTCGGTCGGTCGGTCGGTCGGTCGGTCGGTCGGTCGGTCGGTCTGTCTGTCTGTCTGTCTGTCTGTCTGTCTGTCTGTCTGTCTGTCTGTCTGTCTGTCTGTCTGTCTGTCTGTCTGTCTGTCTGTCTGTCTGTGTGTCCATCCGTCTATGCATCTATCCATCCATCCATTCATCCATCCATCCATCTATCCATTCATTCATTCATTCATCCATCCATCCACTCCTCCATTCATTTAGCTATCCATCCATCCATCTACCTGTCTGTGACTAGCTCTCAGTCTGTTTGTCTGCTTGTGTGTGTGTTTGTCCGTGATTGTCTCTGTCACCATGTCGTAATATTCGTCTGTCTCTGTCGCTTCATCTTTGTGCTTGTATGTCTGTTAAATCGTTGCCTCTTTATTCGTGAATGTCCATTCCATATACACATCAGTGTCTCTGTTTACCTAACTGGTTTCCTATTCGGCGGAATCTTTCAGTTGTTCCTTCACTTCTGTACTGTAATCTTGTTCCAGAATTGAAGTCTTATGTGCACACCCGCTTTACAGATCCGACTTATTTGCACGCAGACTGTGGTTTCTTGAATTTCAATCAGACAGACTTCGACTTTCGAAGTAAGCATTCCTAATTAGTCGCCTCTTACAACATGCATGCTGGGGGAAGATGTGGGACAATACGTCTATTCTTTGCTTCCTTGCCCCACCCCCACCCCACCTCCTTTGTAAACAGTACCCGGGAACCCGCACGGAGAACTATATCATCAGTATTCTTTAGTTACCTCGTAGACGCAATCGTTTGCCGTAACTTCAGACGCCAGGATAACAAAGAGAAAGACAAAGACTCCCTTGTGTCCAGCCCTCAAACTGTAGTTTTCCATCTGGCAATAAACACAGTAAATAATAATAATAATAATAATAATAATAATAATAATAATAATAATAATAATAATAATAATAATAAAGGACGCTTTTTTACGAAAATGGCTGATCGGGTATATGACGCTAGACTCAGTCGGTACTTGATGGGTAGTGTGGTCAAGGTCATGATGGCTTTTACATCCTAGGGCATTACCCGGTACGGTACATGTAACGAACTCAGGTCCAGCTCCACCCATCTACACTTGTGATTGACGAAGCCCGGCCAGGACAAAGTGATTGTACGTTCAGTCTCTGTCTAAACCTTTAAGTGGCAGGGACGTCAGCTTGGTCGACGCTTCAACCGGCGACCACGGGTGCTCTATATATAGGATGTGAGCGCCTTTAACGACCTCATAGTATGTACAACTGGCCCTAACACCAACCCCCGCCACACACTGAACCTAGGTCCTATGAGAGAGTACAGTCTACAGCAGTAGACCGGGAAACCCCTGTAACATTGAGCAACGTAGACCAACCTGACCAAGCATCAATAAAAGATGACCTAATGTGTAGATGGGTGTAGCTGGGTCTGAGTTCGTTACCAGTTGCCCTGGTATCCAGGGCAAAATAAAAATCCGCTGCCGTGTGCCACGGTAAGTCAAGACAGAAACAGACTATAGTTAGTCAAGATTTGTTTAGTTCAAACACAAGATTTCTTTACCTGAAACAGACTATACCCAAAACTTCATGAACACCTAAAAGCTTGTAAGGGTGTTCAGACACTAGAACTTTATGCAGCACGTAAAAAGTGATGACCCCGTGCGCAACACCCAGGCACAAGCCACACAGTGGTCAGCTAATTTATAACCTGACCAAGACATTTGGGGTCTTTAGTTCTCGAGGTCTTTAGTTCTTGAGGTCTTCAATTCTTGAGGTCTTTAGTTCTTGAGGTCTTCAATTGAGTTCTTAAACAATCTGTCGTCAATTCTTTAGTTTTTCGACAGCCTTTATTTGTTCAATTTGTTTTCGATACTTTAGTTATAGAACGTGTTTAAAATTATTTCCTAACGATTCGGCTTCGATAATGTTTCTTAGTTTAATGCTATCACAATAGTTGAAGTTCTAGTTTTCCGCTAGGACAGATGAGAACATTATATTCAGGGTTCTCCTTGCAGATCCGGACGAGGGTTGGACGACTTAGTTCAGTTGAGTGGGAGTTCTCTCCCTTGGCCGCACTCGAAACAGTGAGCGGACAAGTCACGAAACAAATGACATACTTACCTATCATCATACGGTTGCGTGTAAGGTTGTGTACGGTTGCTGTTAGGGTTGCGTAGTCATCATACGGTTGCGCGAAGGGTTGCGTAGTCATCATACGGTTGCGCGACGGGTTGCCTAGTCATCATACGGCTGCGTGTAGGGTTATACCTATCATCATACGGTTGCGTGTAGGGCTGCGTACGGTGTGAGTTCGGGGTTAGGGTTAGGGTTTAGGGGTAGGGTTAGAGTTAGGGTTAGGGGTATGGTTAGGGTTAGGGTTAGGGTTAGGGGTTAGGGGTTAGGGTTAAGGGTAGGGTTAGATGTGACAATTTTGACGTAGGAGTTAAACATACTGGACGACAATCTGATGCTTGTGGGAGTGGCGCCACTGGAAGTCTGTCAAATATGACCGCAATAGCGCGCAGCTGGTGCCAAATCGGTGGCGACGTGTCCGTGTCAGTAGCATCCACAGTCCGTCGACTGTTTGGGTGTGTATGTGACAGTGCGCGATTATTGGGAAGTCCTGCGTCGTCAAAATTGTCACATCTAACGCTAAACCTAACGCTAAACCTAACCCCTAACCCTACCCCTAACTCTAACTCTACCCCTAACCCAACCCCTAACCCTAACCCCTAACCCTACCCCTAACCCCTAACCCTAACCCTACCCCTAACCCCTAACCCTAACCCCTAACCCAACCCCTAACCCTAACCCCTAACCCTACCCCTAACCCTAACCCTAACCCTACCCCTAACCCCTAACCCTAACCCTACCCCTAACCCTAACCCCTAACCCTACCCCTAACCCTAACCTTACCCCTAACCAACACCCCTAACCCAAACCCTACGCAGCCCTACACGCAACAGCATGGTGGACTACGCAACCCTTCAGGCAACCGTATGATGACTAGGCAACCCTACAAGTAACCGTACGCAACCTTACACGCAACCGTATGATGATAGGTAAGTATGTCATTTGTTTCGTGACTTTTCCGCTCACTGTTTCGAGTGCGGCCAAGGGAAAGAACTCCCACTAAACTGAACTAAGTCGTCCAGCCCGCATCTAAACCTCGTCCGGATCTGCAAGGAGAGCCGAGAACTTTGACCATGTTTTAAGACCGGCATGTTTGGTTCAGGAGGCAGTAGTATAGTCTGACTAAAAAGCAATGTCAATTGAGCACAAGACCCAATCTATCCCGCAGGCGTTACGCTAGCTGCGTATACTTTTACAGAATGTTGCAAAACCGACCCTAACACTGTTTTGGCGGTTTGTGATTTCGCTAAGCAATTTTACGTTCAGTAGTTTGCTATTGTCGGCGTCTGTGGCTTAGATCGTTGCGAACACGCTTCTAAATGCCGGGGTGCCGAGTTCGATCCCAGCTGCGGGCCTCGCTCCTTACGTTGGTTTCGACAGTGGTACCAAGAGCTGACCGTTCAGGGGGTGCTAATAAATAGCCATAAGCTGGGATCGAACCATACACCTCGGCATTATAAACCGCGTTCGCAACCCTTAAGCAACAGACACCGACAATACGTACAAAAAATTATGTTCAAACATAACAACAACACATAGCAGCTACCATATTCGGTGTTTTCCCAACATTAAGAAGAGTCTTGTTTAATTTTTGCTCACAAAGACACATTAAAACTTCGCATTTCAGACTGACACAGTAGTGTTTTGGCTGCAGCTTAAAGGTTTGTAGCCCAATCGTAGTGCCATGCTATTGTTGTTGTTGTTGTTTTTTTTTTTTTTAAGTATCCAAAAACCATGAGATGTATACAATCTGGCTCGGTACTATAGATATCGTATCCCTTCGGCCTTGATTCCATGACAGATACCGTAAATCTGGGAGAAATTTGTTCTTCTCTGTCTACCGCCGGGTGTGAACTCGGACCACAAGGAGTTCGTCACCTGGTCGCCGCGAAGTCATGTTTAACCAACTAGGCTAGTGAGCCGGGCGTAATGCCATATATGTATGACTATGTCTTATAAAGCTTCAGTTAAACCTCTTCTTTACTAGCAGACTGAATGACTGTGCCGAGAACATTATCACCACCCTTAATTTGTTTTTCTAAAGTCTGTAAAAAGATGTAACCAAAACACTATCACCACCATCATAGCAAGGTACCAACACCATCAACGAAGAATCACGAATGGTCCCTCCTTTCCTTGCCTGCTGTGTACTTCCGTTTCCTGCTTTGAACAACTCTCTTTCAAATGTTGGTGGAATATAGGTTCCAGGCATCATCAAATTTTTATTATTTTAATACTTTTGCTTTTGTAAATGTACATGAAATATTGTAAACCATGTTTTGAAACAATAAAAGAATTTTTTTTTTTTAAAGTCTGTCATCAACGTGAATAGCTCAAGGAGATCTTACAACTTATTTGCAAAGCATGTTTTACATATTCATTTACAATAACCTTAAGTAATTCAATTGCAAAATTCTACATTTATCAAAA